ACACAAAACAACTAAGGAACAATAATAACAATATAATTATTATTAAATGTTAATTATTATGTGTAAAAATCTTAGACGTGTTTCCTGTCTACTTTATAATATGAGATCACTTGTTCCACAATATGTTAAAAAGATGGTCATTAATGCTTTGGCATACTGTGTTCTTCGCTATGGAATAACCATTTATGGTGGCTGTTCTACGTTATGGCAAAAGGAAATTGACAATATTTTGACTGGAATGTGTAGAAGTATCATATACGGCACTGATACCGAAACAGAACAAGAAAAAAAAATGATCATATTAATCTTCCATTATGTCACGCTCTGTTTACTGAGGCGGTTGTTTTAAGACACTTTTGGGATGACAGATTTAAAGTTCCCCACATTGCACCTCGGGCACAAGACATACCACTCGTTTTGAGGTGCCGAGAATGTCAACGAGGTATGGCAGAAGACAACGAATATTTTATGTACTGGACATTTTCAACAGTCTCCCTAAAAGAGTGTTGGACCTGGATTCGAAAAAAAAGTTGAAACAAGCCCTACGAGACCTATTTTAAATCAAGTGTGCCTGCACGAACCAGGTTCATCTTCTAGACGTCTTAAACTGTGCTCTAAAGATTTTTTTTTCTTAGGCCAGTGATGTGATCTTTATTACAACCCAAGTACTGTGGCAACTTGACATGGGACCTGTGCTTCATTTTTTTAATATTTTGATGTCTGTGTGTGTGTTCTTTATGTAATGTGACTATCTACATACCAACAACTCTGGACACTAACTTTACTAATGCTTCAATGTTATTTTTTTCTTAAAACGTGTGTGTGTGTGTGTGTGTGTGTTTTATGGTGCTGATGCACTCTTCACAATGTTGAAATTAATTGATTTATAACTTTAATACTGGTGGTTTAGCCACACAAGCTAATTCTGGCTTCGGCAGACCTGAAGCATACTTCGTCGCATCCGAAAAATAAATAAACCATTATTATTATTATTATTATTATTATTGAATAAGAAATGGCGCGCTCATCGAAAGTTTAAAAAGAACGATACCCCAAAATTAAAATCAGAATTTGGGCGCTTTAGGTCTCTCTGCAAGGAAGTTTTTAAACGTGATCGTCAGGCGTACACTGATTCCGTCGAGTTGCAGCTAACTAAAAATCCCAAAGAATTCTGGAAGTATGTTCGCTCTCGGTCCCAGACAAAAGGTAGAGGAGAGATCACCCTGCTGGACTCACAGGGAAACTCGACGACAGATGTTTGTGAAATTTTTGCACGCCACTTCCAGTCTGTTTTTAAGCATCATCCAACCCCTTCAACTACTGCCGCGCCAGCTGTCTCTGGGAAGGCATCCTGTATTGCACTCTTCGACGAGGAGCTACTGCATGAGTGTGTAAAAAAAATGAAACCATCATTGTCTTCTGGCCATGATGGTATTCCGTCAGTCCTCTTGAAGGCATACAGTGCCATATTTATTCCTGTTCTAGTGCAGATTTTTAACAACTGCATAAAGAATGAGGTCTTTCCCGCCATGTGGAAAACGGCACTTGTTGTACCTGTGCATAAGTCCGGTCCAAAAACAAATGTGTCGAACTACAGACCTATAGACGCTTTCAGCTAGTCAGTTACTCAAGCTGCCACCAGTCGGCGCGCCCATCGCGCGCTTTCCGGGCCGCCATAGCCGACCTTCAGTTTCTCGCCGTTGCTCCGCGTTGTGTGCTGCCCAGGCCACTACCGGAGCCTCGTTTTCGTGTTTTTTGTACGTTCCGCGTTGAAATCTTGTATTTTCTTTAGGTCTTTTTTATACTAAGGACTTTCATTAATCATTTGATATTTATATTTCGACATAGCTCTTGTATTTTCTTATTTGTGGAAGGGAATCGGACAGCGAATGGGTCGACGACACAAGATAATGAGGCTTCAATGACCATGTAAGTTCATCTCATTCTTACGTTTTGGTCGCTAATAAAGGGCAGTCAACACTATTGCGACATATGTAAATTGCAACTGACGCAGTAAGGCTACCACAGTCTTGCTTCTCGCTGCATGTGCGCACTCGTTTCCGTAAAGCCGACCCGCATGTAAGCGATTTAGCGTGCGACGAGACGAGCAACGGAGATTTCTCACAGTCGCCCGTCACACTGCTCGGTTTTGGGATTTCTAGAAAACGTCGCTCACCGTCTTGGTCGCTTGCTCCGTCGCTTCCATGCGGTTTGCCTCGTCGCGCGACTGACTGAGCGACAGCGAAGCGGGTAGCCATCGCCTATCTGGTCGCTCGCCAAATCGCTTACATGCGGTTTATACTCAATTAATTTCCATGCACACAGCACTGAAGCATTGGCGCCTCGATATTAAGTATAAACCGCATGCAAGCGATTCGGCGAGCAACGAGACACGCGACGGTGACCCCCTTCGCTGTCGCTCGGGCAGTCGCGCGACGAGGCAAACCGCATGGATGCGACGGGAGCAAGCGACCAAGACGGTGAGCGATGTTTTCTAGAAACCAAAAAACCGAGCGATGCAACAGGCGACAGTGAGAAATCTTCGTCGCTGACTCTCGTCGTTGTCGCCGTCGCTCGTCTCGTCGCACGCTAAATCGCTTGCATGTGGGTCGGCTTTACAGAAACGAGCGTGCGCATGCAGCGAGAAGCATGACTGCGATAGCCTCACTGCGTTAGTTGAAATTTGAATATGTCACAATGGTGTTGACTGCCCTTTATTAGAACAAAAACGTTAGAATGGGATGAACTTACATCGCCTCTAAAGCCATAATCTTGTATCGTCGATCCATTCGCTGTCCGATTCCATTTCATAAATAAGAAAATGCAAGAGCTATGGTGACATATAGATACCAAATGATTAAATGAAAGCCCGAAATATCGAAAAAGACCTAAAGAAAACACACGATTTCTACGCGGGACGTAAAAAAACGCGAAAACAAAGCTCCGGTAGTGGCCGGCGCAGCACACAACGCGGAGGAACGACGAGAAACTGAAGGGCGGCTATGGCGGCAGGGTCACGTGACGCCAAGATGGCGGCGCCCATGAAATGTTGCCTGAAAGGGTCTATATCTCTTCTTTGCACATTTTCGAAGCTCCTCGAAGTGGCACTACACAAAATATTGTCATTCAATCTCAAGCGTTATCTTATCCCTAACCAACATGGATTTATGGCGGGTCGCTCGATGACAACTAATCTCGCCTGTTTTATGTCAACCGCTGTTCACGCCGTCGCTAACAGAGGCCAGCTTGATGTGATTTACTTTGACTTGAGTAAAGCGTTTGACATTGTTAATCATGAGATGTTACTGGCTAAACTGTCAAAGCTAGATATTCACAACTCATTGCTTTCATTGCTCGAAAGTTATTTGCGTGACCGGAAGTGCTTTGTTAGCTCGAATAATAATTTTTCTGCTACTTATGAGGCGACAACGGGTGTGCCTCAGGGCTCCGTTCTCGGACCTCTTCTGTTTTCAGTTTTTGTTAATGATGTTTCGACTGTGATTCGTCACTCCTCATTTCTTCAGTACGCAGATGATATTAAGATGTTCATGGAGGTACGAGAAGACCGAGACTGTGTTTTGCTACAGAGAGATGTTCATGCTTTGGAAGAATGATGCCGGGAGAATGACCTGAAGATAAATAGCTCTAAAACGAAAGTCGTGTCGTACACTCGTAAGACAGATAACATTGTATTCCCATATGTTATTCAGACAGACCTTTTAGAACGTATGAACAGAATCAAAGATCTTGGCGTGGTGTTTGACAGCACCTTACACTTCTCCAGTCATGTGGATCACATCGTGAACGCAGCTCTACGCACGCTCGGGAGTGCGTGCCGCATCACTAAAGAGTTTATTAACCCCTGCACATTTCTTATACTCTACAGTGCATTGTGTCGACCACAGCTTGAATACGCTTCTGTTGTATGGAATGGAATTTGTGCCACAAATTCCTCGAAAATAGAACGGGTTCAGAACAAGTTTTTTTCCATCTATAGACATCGTTGCTCAGCGCGCATTGTGCCCACCACTACTGATGTCCCTGTCCCTGTTCAGCGTAGCGTGGCACTACCTACCCTGCTTCGTAGGAGAGAACTTGCCGATATCTTATTTTTATACAAACTTGTCCACGCCGTCACTGATTGCACGGTATTGACGTCAAGAGTACTCTTAAAAATTCCTCTAAAAACAAGGCAAAATGCGTCCTTCTGCAACAGGCGTCTACTCAACCTCCACGATCCTGTGTCCAGACTTGGGCATACTTATAATTCTTCTTTCTCTGAAACACTCGACATATTTAACAATAACACGCTGCAGTTTGTAAAAACGTTAAAGGCCATCACTTAAATTTGAACTGTATGCACTAACTTGCGGCGTTCACGCCGAAATTCCCCACTTTGAATGCATTTTTTTTTCTTTCTTTCTAGCAATTGGTGGTGGCGGTAGTACCATTAAGCTTATCGTGTGTTGTGACTTTGTGTTTACTTTTTATAATTTTTAAGTGTATTTTTCTAGGTCTTGTCCGTTATGTGTGTTGTCCGTACTATTGCTTTATGCCCTGTTCTGCCTTACAGGTTAACACAGTGCACCTGTACCAAGACCGCAAGGTTGTTCCTGGGCACGAATAAAAACATTGATTGATTGATTGATTAATATTATTATTATTATATTAAGAGAATGTATGTACTTCAAGTAAAGTACAGTTTTGTAATCCTACTTGAAGTGTACAACGTAGTTGGAGTATTTCCCAACTTTGGTACAAAGCACCACCTGACGTGGCGTGGAGTCAGCCCTTTATTGACCCATCTGATACCAACTTCCGCCCTGGCCGATGTTCCGACGTAACGCAACATAAAGTGACAAGCGAAGCCCGCGCTTCCTCCACCCCAACCTGTGCAAACACTGGTGTGTAATACATCCTCCTGCGGCCCCCCCCCCCCCCCCCCCCCCCCCCCCCCCCCCCAACCCCTGCAACTTCCGCTCGAGCCGACGTCCAGACTTTGAAAGAGCACAACGAAGGGACAACCGAATCGCGTGCTTCGTCTACTCCCGTCTCGATGTTGACGTGCGGGGGCGGTTTTGAACGTTCCCGCCGCTTACGTCAGCGCTGCGACCAAGCCCCGAGGGAGCAATCTTCGTTGGCTCGGCACCTCGTCCACCGAGAGGCGAGGAGGCCGGAGTGATTGCCGGGGAGCGCCAGATGCCTCTGGCCGGCGCACGAGCGAACAGGCGTCAGCCGCATGCGGGCAGGAGGGCGGTAGGCCGCGGCAGCAGTCGGCTATTTTGCGCCGTTTGTTTGCGATGTGGTGGTCGAGATTCGGATCACGTGGGTCCCCCCGTCTGCTCGTGGCCTGTCAGCGCTGCCAGCGCGGAAGATCGGAGCGGCGCGGGAACGATCTCGAGTAGACAGCGAGCTGCGAGATGCTGCCGCCGCCGCGGGTCTGTAGGGGAGCCATGTCGGCGTTGTTATCGCGGGTTTCGCTGGCACTGCTCGTTGTTATGCTGATTGCGTCCAGGCACTCGACTGCGGCGGAGGATCAAGAGGAGGACGGCCTGCCCTGGTGGGACTTTGTCCGGCGGGAACGCCTGTCCGCCGGCGTGTGCGCGTCCGACGAATCGGATTTGTGCGGTGGCAGCCCCGAGTTTTCCACGTCGCCCTTCATGTGCCGCTGCGACCCGGACTGCGTTCGATTCGGCGACTGCTGCGTCGACAAGGGTTACCCGACGCCTCGGCAGGTGTCTTGGATGTGCCTGTACCACGCCGGACGGGAGTTCTACGGGCAGGCCGACTGTCCAGCGGACTTCGACGAAGACCACGAAGACGGCATCGTGAAGCACTGCCATCGGCAAGGATCGCAGCTGAAATCGCTTCAAGACGTACCCGTGTACAGTGTGATTTCCAGGACCATGTACGCTAATATCTTCTGCGCCGTCTGCCACGGCGACGCTGACAGCTTGCGGCCCTGGACCGTTCGTCTAGACTGCAACCGGGCATGGGATGCCGCACGAGTGTTGACCTTGCTGTCTAGAGGCAGTTACAGTCAGAGGAGTCGTACAATGTATGGCCCGAGCACGTCCGGCCTGAGCTGCCATCTTCACCTAGCAGAAACGGCGTCGGAAAGCTTCTTTCACGAGCTGGTCGGTGTTCGAGAGTGCAGACTCGCCGTCTCAACGTGCCGTGATCACTCAAACCCACGCGACGTAGACCTCTGTGGACGCTACACGGCAATGGTGTACTCGCCCAGCCGCATGGCCAACTACAAGAACTTCCACTGCTACAGGTGTAGCGGAGGTGTCTCTCCTTTCAAGCTGGGTGCTCTGGAGTGTGGAGCTCGCGCGGCAGGGGCCGGCAACGACCTACCGGAAGGAATGCACGTTGTGCTCAGCGTGAAGAGTAATTTCGTGAATGCCGGAAAGTGTCCTGGATCGACGGGAATCTACGATCCGGTTCTGAACCGCTGCTTCAAGGAGCCCGAACGGGCATGGACGCTGCTGAAATCCCCGTCTGCTGCGAAAGCCGCAGAAGCAGCATCGTTGTTGTCAGAAGTTTTGTTGGCAGTAATAGCGGCCATTGCGGGTCATTCCGCGTCATTCATTTGAGTTTAGAAGCTGCACAGCGGTGGAGGTGCCATGATGTAGGCTTATCAGTATCTGTTCGCGTCATTTGTGAGACCTAAGCAGGCGAAGACGCGCTATGAGTATTGTTAGGCTGGCTTTAGTGGGCGCATTTATTGTCAACGTGCGCTGTGAACTGTGAAGACAGAACACGTGGAGGTAAGAACTATTGGTGGGATACCCCTTGGCTTCTTACTCATTTCACATTTCCCTATAAACTGTCAAGAGAATGATTTTGCATTCATTTGGTATACGGGTTCAGTTCTTGGCGTTTCGCTGGAGTCTTGCTGGAGCTCCATGAAAATTTAAACAGTTCAGAGGACGAGAAACTGGATGAACAATGAGATTGACAGAACGCTGTCTGTGTGTTTCTTCAACCGGGCCCCGTCCTTCGCGCTGTTTTAATCCTCAAGCATCTTCCAACTCGCCCAAGCTTCAACTTTATCTGGAGCTCAGCTTATATGTTTTTGTTTGTAAAAAAGCACCACTCTAATTAAATGTTACGCTGCAGCACAATATGAGCTTTGCTGATTGCAGATAGCAGTATAACGAAAGAATAAAATGAGGCTCCCTTGGTAAGATAAGAGGCAGTCAGGTACTGAAAGATGACCTTTTGGGTGTTGCATTTGATATCCCACACCCGTTGAAAGATAGTTGCGCGTTTACTGGCGGGATTTGAAGGAACATTTGGACAAAGGAGTCGTCCTTTGTCCAAACTGAAGAATCTCAGGGGCAGTATTATACTCGGCTGCTGTCTACTTGTTCACATGCTAGTCGTTATGGCCATCCAAACAGGAGTATTGTGCCTTCTGCATCGGAAGTGTCTTTGTTGGTGCTCTTGTTTAAGCGCGAATTTAGCTGCACATTCAAGGTGAGAACAACCGTCTGAGCATTTTGCGGAGTTCCGCTTTCAGAACATTCTTAGGGATGTGGGAGTGTGACTGGCGGCCATACATCGAGTACATTTTTTGCCATGGTGCGTGCGTAAAAACAACTCAAACGATAAAAAAAAATTATAATAATCATCTTATGCAGCGTTTTGTAGTCTCCGGTATTCTCCTCTTATCCAGGTGGTATAAATTACGAAAAGTGATAAGAGAAGAGAAGGTGAAGGTGGTAGAGAAACAGAAATGTCTCGAAGTTCGAATTTTGGTATTTTTGTATGTTTAATTTAACACAATCTTTAAAAAAAAAAAGCGTTGTAATGATTGTGCATAAAGTCAGAATCACGAAAAGACATTGTAAAAATTCAAGTATAAAAATTAATTCGTTCTGTCACCAAACAATTGCTGGTGCCATACATGCAAAATAGCTTGTGAAAGCACTTATTCACTGGTGTTGTAGTACAGTATCAAAATTAAGCTTTGACACAATTCCTGTCTTTTTTTTAACGACGTAGGCCTGTCATGCAGTGAAATTGAAAACACAGCCTATATCTGCTTCTTTACTTGTGTTCCAAGCGGCACTACCTGTAGTGATGTTTATTTATAAAAACATATTAGACCCAAATTACAATTACAGGAGCGATAGCATCATACCTTTGTGTTAGTCGCTTTAAGGTAACGTACGCAATATTAAAAGCGCTCTCTGTTGTTTTGTCTTCATTGTCTCCGTTCTTCTTAGCCGTTTTGATCTGAATATACATAAACAAACTAGCCCAATTAACCATTTTGTCGCGGAAGAATTAACGCCGCAGGTCTTAGTACCGTATGGAATGTTTATCAAATCTATACTGGGTTCTTGGACAGAGTTTGACATTTGGATTCAGAGCCTCCATATATAATCTCTAGTAAAATAAATCAAATCAAAATTCCCGATATTTTAAATATCTTACGCCAAGCCGTCATGAGCTCATATGTCAATAAAAAAAGCATAATTTATAAAAAAAAAAATCGAGACCCGGTGATGGTACGTGAAGCATGCAAAATAGAAGAAACGAAAATAACGACAAAGACAGCGTCAGACTCAAACAAATTGAATCTAGAAGGGAAGACCTGCGCAAGACGTCATCGTTTGTAGATCCCCGACGCGCCCCAAGTGGCAAACTCGCTAAGGCCCGCTTCAGCAATTTTTACAGCAATTTTGAGGTTGCTGGCGGGTTGTTCCCTAGGTTTCCGTAGATCGACACGAATTGCTGAGCATTGCTGAGATCGGGTCCGGCTCGAAACGGACGACCAACTCGAACAACTCGAAGCCGTTTGAAGCGGCAGCAGCCAATCAGGGACGCGATATTTTCACGTGACACCCCCGTGGTGATGATGGCAGCTAAAAACTTGGTTCTGGTTTGAAATCGATCGTTTTTCGAAATAAACATTTTCAGAAAGATGAGTTAGTATTCTCAAGGCCATTCAAAGATATAAAAGCACGTTTTGAGCGCGTAGCTGAGTGTCTAAATATTGCGAGAAATTTCAAAGTGAATAATGATGATAGCAAGTCGTAGCAATTTGTTGCTTCGTGTGAACGCAGACGACCCGTGTTGCTGGTGTTGTGACGTCAAGTTGCTGGGTGAAATTGCTCCATCTGAAGCGGGCCTAAAGCTCGAGGAAGGTCGCCGCCAAGCGGCAGACGCGTGCGTCGTGGCGTCGCCGCGTTCTAGCGTCGCACTCGTTGTGAGACCCTGCGAGACGCGCTGGCGTCGGCGCTGACGCAAGCTAGGTGGCGCTGCGTAATTTCGCTAGAGTTTTGACTTTTAAGAGTGGAAGTAGCGAGCCTTGTGTTCTTAGTGTTATGCGAAGCGCAGGTTCCTCTGCTTCTTTTTGCAGGGGTTGTGGTGAGGTCAGAAAGACGTCGAGCCCTGATTGGCTTTGATTGTAGGATAGTGGGTATGACCTCAAGGCAGCTCGCTTTGAGGTCTACCCACTATCCTTTAAACGGAGCCAATCAGAGTTCGGTATTCTGACGTTATCACAACGCCTGCAAAAGAAGCAGATGAACTTGCGCTCCTCATCGCACCGGTTCGCCATGCGCCCTTTCAACGACGTACCGCGGCGCTGATGCTACGGGTCATTGAAACCAATCCAATGCCGTGTAAGTTTCACGTGACTTTTGGGATGGGCCTGCAGCGCCGCGCGGGGACGCGAGGTCATGTGACACCACTGCAACCAACTTGCGGCGAGATTCCAGAAAGTGCTGAATTCGGACTGCTTGAGATGTACAGGTTGTTCAATTTTTAATTTAAACAGGCCTTAATTGAAAAAAAAGCACAAAAAAACACACCTTGAAAGGTGCCTTAATGCGACTGGGCAGGTGAGCTATCCGGCCAGGGGGTCATGGTGTTGGGGCTAATCGTCACAATAAGTAAAATAATTAGCGTTTTAGGGGCACAGCTCCTTAAGGTCTAGCCTTGTCCGTCCGGCGTCCGTGCTCACATCGATCTTGCTGGTGCTCGTGCTCGTGCAGGACGAAAAAAAAAATGTTTGCGCAGTGGACAAGATTTGAACTTGTGCGGAGAGACCCCAATGGATTTCTAGTCCATCGCCTTAACCACTCAGCCACGACTGTGGGACGAGCAGGGGGCTCTGAGATGTGGTAGTAACTCAAGAGCTGGGGATGACATGGATGAAACGTTGCATGTAGCCGCTCCACGTCTATACAGGAGAGGGCGCTGCGGTCAAATGCGTATATAATCGCGTTAAACTCTGCATGCATTGGCTCAACGTTTATAGACGAGAGGGCGCTGCGGTCAAATGCCCAAATGCATATATCTATCCACGTTCCATACCACACATTCTCTTTCTGACATGGATGAAAACGAACGAAAGGCTCGGCAAGCTGGGGCTCAGCGTCTACGCAGACAAGCACCACCAGAGCTTCGCCCCAATCAACATCATTCACCACGTGGAAATGTGGCTATTTTTAATGTATTTTTAAGTATTGAAAACAAACAAATAGTTCAAATTAGTAACGTGTAAGCGTCATCTAAAGTCAATTAATTCATACAATTTTACAAAAATCTAAATTTTTTGTGAAAAGCTCGGTGGTGCGCTAAATCTATCGCTCGTACAAGACTTTCGCGGTTTCGCAACTAGCAGTCCAAGAAACGGCCTAATAATAATAGTATTAAAGAAAATAAAACAGCACGTGTTGAATTGAAACGCATTTCTGGGACTGAAAAACGAAGCATGGGCACCAAATTTTTCTACAGTTGACAGAGTTTGCGTGTTTTTGATGAGGCCCAGCACGCTAATAATTATAATCATCTATTTATTTTTCTAATTAAAAAAGGTAATTAACCAATTTATTTAAATATCCGAATTATCGTGATGATTTCCCCCTATATTATTGAAGCCTTTACGTATAATTCACCTCCAGAGACTGCATTAAAGTAACCTTTACGGCTTTCTAAAAAAAAGGTTTGTAAACCCTTCAAAAGCTCCTGAAAAAAATTTAAGCAGTTTGGTTGGGACACGCGTGTCAAAAATAAATTTTACGCGAAAAAAAAAAAAAATCTGTTTGGGGCAATATTGACGGCGGGGGATTTATTTGAAACTTCTGTGCGCAAAGTCCATGATGTCACGAAATGGTCATTCGCTCAACGAGATGGTAATTTGGTCTTTCCCCCTCAACCTGAAGACGAAGCCGATTCTCCTCTCCTCCACGCGCCCGAAATGCCTGGAGGGAAAACAAGGGGAAAGGAGGTGACGACCGACTAAACTGCGTCTCGCGCCGTCAATATTCCCTTAAAAAAAAAAAAAAAGAACAATTGTAAAATTAATTTTTAGACACGCGTGTCCCAACCGAACTGTTAAGAAAAACAACTTCTTTTTTTTTTTCGTTTCAGGGGCCTTTTAAAAAAACGCCCTGTTTTGGCTCCCTATGCAAAGGCAGGACATACGGGACGCTGTGTTTAGGCGCAGGTTGCATGCTTTAGGTCTTTGGAACCGATTTTGCGAACTGCCATCAATGGACATCAAACAACATTTCATCATCTGCGTGTTTTTCGATACAATTCGCGAGTCCAGCGACCTATAAGGGGCGCCACCACCAAACAAACATGGCGGCTGGGAACAAGTCACGTCGACTCGGCCGGGAAACCTGAACGGGTGGCGCATTCAATTTAACAGCTTTTATTTTGTTTAATGCAATATTTTATAGGTATTTCAACTGCGACGGTTAAGTATACCCGGTGCACATAAACCTGAAGAGCCTAGTTTTATTTTCCCGGTGATTTTTGTTCTTTTCATGTCAAACTTTTTTTTCTGAGATGTCGTTCAAAACCGAAACTATGGGCTCCGGAGAGATGGTAATAGACTCTAACCAGTTTTGATCAGCCAAAGAAAGCGGCGATGACTACAGAATTGTTCCACCAACAGTAATTTTCAGCTAACTCGCATACCTGGACCATGCGCCCTATATGTCCGCGAAATCGAGCTTTTGTGCGTCTCCACGTTAACAAGTCGTCTGTTCGGTCAACAACACAGGCTGCAGGCAAATTACGGAAATTAAGCACGCACTTCTTGAGCCAAGGAGCATATTAACACCCTGGCGCCTCACTAATCAGCTGATACTCGTATTTCAATTTAGGTTTTAGTCGCAATCGAGAAGTCATTTTGACGAGTATGCTGGCTATGTATTATATTACGTACTATGTCCCACTAAAGCGATATTAGTATATTCTTCGGGTTGAAATATGAACTTAGTTGTCTAGCTATTAGGTGAACGCTGAATAAAAGTATATTTGACAGACAGAGAGATATACTACTTAAAATCAGGTAAATGGTTCTAGCCGGCAGCACGGAGACGAACGCGGACAAACTGAAGCCGGGAGTCTTTATCGGAGATTCACGCGGAAACCCTCTGGCATTGAACTTGACTTCGAATTCTGAACGAGGAAATTGAGTATTTTTTGTGGTTGGACAACCTCAGCAATGTAGACGTATATTGCTGCTGGCTTTGACGGGGGTATAATATAAATATTAGAGGCGCGATAGATCAAAATGTCGTGACAGCTTCTAACTTATTTGCGAAACGGGTCCCCCACCTTTTGAAAGCAGACAATTTCCCTCATTAATCGTGTGCAGTGAGCAGGTATCCCGGAATCAAGTAATTGCGAAATCAGCCCAACTCCTTCCGTGTGGTTCAGAGGATTTTTCGGCGAAAGGCAGCCAAGATAAATAGCCAATGCACCGACCGGCGTGGGTTCCTAATTCTTGAAGGTAATCGAACACAACCAAACTCAAGAAAAGCAACTATCGAACCTTCTTATTCACTTCACTGCAACATTGGTATTCTCTCCAGTGAAACACCTCATCTGTCGTCTTCAGTCCACTGTTCTGCATCCTTATAAAGAAACCACTTATTAGTTACCAAGTAGTCGCAACTTTGAATGTGGTTTGAGAGAGACAAGAAATCAAAACGTTTTTCAGTGATTCCTTTTCATCTAAGAAATCGAAAGCACGCGACCATGTGTTATGGAATAAGTGGGCTTTCAAACACGTGATGGAAGGAAATAACCTACTGAGGCTTCACCACACTAATGAACACTCAGGCAAACTTAAGGAATATTCAAACCTTCGTCAAATTACACTGTTCGCCACCGCACCACCGAGGTGGACGGTAGTTTTGAAGGAAAAATTCCTAATAAATTTTCGTACAACCGACCCAAAAATGCCCATGGGCCGGAGCGATCGAAGGGCGCCACCCTGTAACATGCTTCGCGGTGCCTGTTTCAACAGCCGGGGTATAACGTCTCCGTCTACGGGACGTAAAGGAAGCAACCGGAGCGAGTACAAAACGAGCGAGGAAGATACATAGAAAGGGGGGACGGACAATAATCTTCGTTGTCCGTCCCCCTCCGCCCTCCCCCCGCCCTCTATGTATCTTCCTCATGTTTAATAACCGTAGCGACTTCGCAAACTGATCAGCCTACAACCTTGGTGGTAACAAAATATAG